TGTGGCATTTGGATGCCGATCTCCGTCTGCCCACGGCTGGGTGGGTGCTGAGGAACCCACCCGTGCTCCCTCTCACCTCTGCCAGGGGTCCTACCTGGAGATCAAGAAGCAGATGGACAAGCTGGACCCCCTGGCCCATCCCCTGCTGCAGTGGTAAGGCCAAAGGTGCAGTGACCCCAACTCCCCGCCCCACATCCCTCCCTGCTGCCCCACATCCCACATTACAGGGGTTGGGCTGAGCACTCCCAGCACGACTGCCTTGACCTCTTATTCCTGGGGCTTCACAACCTTCCACCAGCTTTGGGATGGGTTCTGGAGCAGCTCCTGGCTCCCAGGGGAGCCTGGGACCACCCTGTCTGACGTTCCTCCTCCTCCTCCCCCTCCTCTTCCCCTTCCCAAGGATAATCTCCAGCAACAGATCCCACATTGTCAAGCTGCCTCTCAGCAGGGTAAGGGGCCTGGCTGGGCGCCAGGTGGGATAGGGGATGTGGGAAGTGGGGTATGGGAGGTGGGATGTGGGATAGGGAGTGTAGGGTACAGAATATGGGATGTGGGATGGACAGAGGGGGGAGATGGAATGTGGGAGATGGTATGTAGGGTGTGGGAGGGGTAATGTAGGACATGGGATACAGGGTGGGATGTAGGATATGGAATGTGGGAGGAGAGGTATGGGGTTGAGACATGGGATATGGGCTGCTGGGTGTTGGGTATGGAAGGTGGGATATGCAGCACAGGACAGAGTGTGGGGTGTGGGATGTGGGATGCAGGATATGGGCTGTGGGATGGAGAGTCTGGGATGCAAGGATGTGGGGGGAGTGAGGGAAGGGTCTGGGATATCGGATCAGCCATTGGGATGGGGCCTGCAGCTGGGGGGACATGGGGGAATATAGGACAGAAGATGTTTGATGTGGGATGGGAGATAAGGATTGGGAGATGCTATGGGACCTCCTGGCAAGGTCAGGACAGCTGAAGCAGGACTGGGCTGGGCACGGGGCCGGGCTGCCGTGCATGATCTGTCTGTCTCTGTGTCTGTCCATCCATCCACCCACCCCTCCACCCATCCTCCCACCCTTCCTCTCCCCACCGGTGCCGCCCCTGCTCTTCCTGTTCCCCCGGTAGCAGCTGAAGTTCATGCACACCTCCCACCAGTTCCTCCTGCTCAGCAGCCCCCCGGCCAAGGAAGCCCGGTTCCGCACCGCCAAACAGCTCTACGGCAGCACCTTCGCTTCCCCAT